CCTCCGCGGCGCGTCTGGCACTCGGAGCGCCGCAGCGGCATGCGGCGGGTGCAGCCTGCGCAGATCCCGGCCGGCGCCGAGCGGCAGCGGGAGCGGACCCCGGGCGCACGCCGCAGTCTCACCGCAGCCCCGCGGCAGCCGCTGACCCGCCACCATGGCCCGCGGAAAAGCCAAGGAGGAGGGCGGCTGGAAGAAATTCATTTGGAACTCGGAGAAGAAGGAGTTTCTGGGCAGGACCGGCGGCAGCTGGTGTAAGTACGGGGTCCGCAGCTCTCCCCCCCAGCGCCTGTCTCCAGGGCGGCGCGTCCCCTGCGCAGGCTCTGCGGACCGCCCCGCACCGCGCGCCCTGGAGGGTGGACTGCGGAGAAGCCGGCGCCGGCGCCGGCGCGGGTGGGGGCCGAGCGCCAGGCGGAGGGTTCTCTGGATCGTGGCGGTCGTGTTTTGGTAATTTGCGGTCTATCGATCGAGCCCTTCCCTGCTGGGAATGGTCAGGCATGGGCAACGAGATGGATCTCTCCCAATGGTGATGTCCCAGGTCCCTAAAAAACAACAGGGAGGTGTGAGGATGCGGGCAATCGGGCGTCATGCAGGCGAGGCTGCGTGTTTTAGCACCTTCTGGTCTAAATATGTGCCTCTGGGCGCGGGCGGGAACCGTCCCCACTGCAGTATTTCAGCGCGATGCCCAGTCCCCCGCGACCTCCCCCGGAGCCCGCACAGCCCGCCACGGCCCTGAAGCACCGCACAGTCTGGTTGATTTCCATGTCTACTCAGATGCGGCATTGGTAGCTGAGTGGATGGATCATGGTGCAGGGTTCGTCTAGGAATAGCACAAAGGCACAAGCAGGTCATTGTGTAAGATTTTGGGCAGCCGGTAGCTTAGCTGGATACGTTTCCACCCCCATTGAAAATTAAATACCACATGTGTCGTCTGCCTCCCTACACCTGGAGGGTGACATAGGTGTGTGTGTGTGTGAGTGTGTGTGAGTGTTTAAAGGTCATTTTGAAGGGCAGAGTTGTAGGCAAATCTGAGTCGTGACTGCAGCGAGAGAGGGAGGGACTCCCCCTGCTGCATCACTGCCCCCTCCCTCTGGTATCATCACCACCACCATCATGGACACCCCTGCACCCCCTTGCAGCCCGAGGGAGCTGGAGAGGGGCCGGCGTAGGGTCCTCATTGGGAGACTCTGTGGGCATCAGCAGAATGAGTCAGGGAAATAGGTCTTGGCTGACATTTTGAAATGGAAGAAGCCAGAATCTGTGTTTTTTGGTAAAGATAGAGAGAATGCGGCCTGTGGTCTAGGCCCCTCTTGGTTGAAAAGTGAAGGGTTAATAATGCATCACCCTTCAAGGTTAGTCAAGGTGAAACCTCACCCCAAGGTGTTCCTGGGGAGCATGGTGTCCGGGAGCCGTGTTCCATGTAGCTCTTCACCTCGATGGCTTCTCGCGTGTGCTTCATGTTTGCTTGTATTTGGGGGCGACTGCTCTGCAGTGGGATGATTGCCATGGCTCCTCTGCGTCCTGACGTGGAGGGAACCTGGGAGTCAGGGTGTGTGGCGTGAACAGCTCCCTGCCAGGGCCATCTTCCAGCCACTCCTGGTGCCTGGCAGGAGGCCTGGGGTGGGGGTGCATGCGGAGTGGCCCCCTTCTCCCAGGCTCCGGAACCTCCCTGCCCTGGGGGGCTGTCCCCAGCCTTGACATGGGCCGCTGCCTCTGCCGCATTGGCTCTGGGAATATTGCGAAATTTGCCCTCTCGTGCCCCCCCCCCGATTAAATATATATTTTTTTTCCTCATTCCAATTACAGAATAACATTTGCTTTGGGGGGTAAGGCTGTATGGGAGTGCTTGTTCTTTAAGCCGACATTTAAGGGGGCAGCACCTCCATGAGAGAGTCGGGGGAGAGAGAGGGAAAGGGAGAGGGAGGGGATGAATGTGTTAATGTTTGTGTCTCGGGTCCACACCGCACAGTGGATGGATGCATACCCAAGATCCTGGCCCATCTTTCCTTCTTTTCCCGGGGCAGGTGCTGGGCTAGAGCTCTAGGGTCTGCTCTGTGCTAACATGTCTGCCCCGTGCCGGCCGGTGTGGGAAATGGTCAGAGCCTCAGCAGCAGAGGCGGTGGCGGCGGCCTCCCGCGGGAAAGGCCACCTTTGCAGCACTGGCCTGCACGGTGCCCTTGGGACTCGCCCTTGGCTCAGTCGCGCCTGCAGGTCGATTGTCACCCGGGGGCGCGGGAGCCTCCCCGGCACCAGAAACCTGGGCAGAAAGCCCCACCTGTTTAAGTTAGTGCCGATCACCTGAGCCCCCCTTACTGCGCTAACAGGAACTGCGGTTATGTTTTCCTTCTGTCCGTGACCCTTTGAAGGGTACTCCCCCCCCCCCTTTGGGCAGCCTTTATATTACTTGTATTTTTTAAAAGGAAGAAAAACTGCTTTAAAGAAAAATGCCTCTCTAGCCTGCCCCTGTGCCCCGGCTGGCTGGTACCATTTGCCCAGCTCTCTCCGAGCAGCCCCTGGGGGCCTGCGCAGGCCCCGCCAGACCTGCATTGCCCCCCTACCCCAGGGGCCGCGCCCTGGTACCTGGGCACCTTTTGCTAAGTGACACCTGGGAGCAAGAGGGGAATTCCTGGCTTCCCTCTGGGCCCAATGCCTTGGGCAACCGGATCGGCTGCATCTTAAGTGTAATCAGTGTGCTTGGCCAGCGCCCCGTCGTCCCCCCCCCCCCCCCAGTGTTCCTGTTGTAGATGGCAGCCTCCATTATGTGTGGTTAGCGTGGGGCATCTGGGTCTGAGGGAGGGTATAGAAAGGCTCTGGGCGTTGGAAGCCAGTGTGGCTGAGCCGAGAGCACCGCCAAGGTGGGGGCAGCACGCAGGGCTGCGTGGTTCTCGCGGACCGTGCCGCACCAGCCTTGCACCTCTTAGGAGCAGCCGCTGGAAAAATTTTCCAGATCTCTTGACGTCACAGCCTTGCCATTTGCCTGCTGCTGCCTGGATACGGAGCAGCGCTTAACCCTTGCTGGCCGGGAGGCAGCGACGGAGCTGGGCAGCTGCCTTCTGCCGCCTTTGCCTTTCCCTTTGCTGGTCTCCGCCTCGCCCCCTTCTTCTGAAAGGGTTATAATCCATCGCTTCCGTGTGCTCTTTTGGCACGGGTTGCTTATTTTAACAACTCCCTAGTAGGATTACTTGCTGATAGGAAAGCTGGGGTTTTAAATGGATGGAGACCTGGCTAATGCCCCCCCATACTCCCCCCATACACACACACAGGTCCCCCTCACCACCCTCGTCCACTTCTTTTCAATAACATTTTTGTTCTGTAGCTTTTTCCCAAGGACCCCGCACCTAATGCATGAGATCTGGGCCTTTTCTAGACGCCACCAAAGGCCCCTCTGCAGTCATGTTGCAGGGGGAACCTCCCGGCTCACTTCTTCCCACTTTGCATTCGCGTTGAGCTGTTTGGCTGGCGCAGGGCTGCCAGGCCGCGCCTGGTACAGCCTGTTACCGTGCAGCTAATCGGGAGGTAATCCTTGTAAACCTGTAACTGATAGCTCAGTGAGCCTCCGGGCCCCGGGTTTTTTTGCATTTTTGCTTTTTCAGCTATCTCAGCCTCTGCTATCCTGGGAAAGAGAAAATGCAGCTCAGATTAGTCATTATTCTGGGTCCAGAGGATGAAATACAAATGTGCTGGCCATTTTTACTAGTGCATTTTCTTTTTAAATATATTTTTATTGATTTCAGAGAGGAAGGGAGAGGGAGAGAGAGAGACATAGAAACATCTATGATGAGAATCATTGATGGGCTGCCTCCTGCATGCCCCCTACTGGGGATCAAGCCCACAACCCAGACATGTGCCCTTAACCAGAATCGAACCCAGGTCCCTTCAGTCCATAGTCCGACACGCTTTCCACTGAGCCACACCAGCTGGGGCTGCGTTTTCTTTATTTCTGGTTTGGTGCGCCCAGAAGGAAACCTGGGTGTGAGTGACGAGTGACGAGTACCAGAGGCAGGAGGCCGTGATGAGCAGGAGAGCCTCCTGGGCCATGGGCACTCGTGGCTGTCGCAGTGTGTGTGCCTGAACGAGCAGCAAGGCATGGCTGTGAGATTGAAATGTCGGGGGTAAGCAGCACAGCTCACAGGCTTCTGCGGGAAGATGCTGCCATTTGCAGTGCATGGCAGAAGCACACGGACAGGGCCCTGGGTTTCATGGGCGACCTTCATGGACATTTTTTAAATTTGGGGAATACAGTTATTTCCTATAAAGAATCTTAGTCCTAGTTGAACATTCCTCCTGCCCCCAACCTCCCCTGACAGGCACACCGTAATGGAGGCTGTCCTCCCCCTGCCCCCTCCCCCTGCCTGTCACACTGGTCAGGGCTGGAGCAGGAGCCCTGCAGGCACAGGTGCGGGGGAAGAGGGCGTGCACACACCTCTGGGAAGGTTCGAGGGGCGCTCTGAGCACGTGACGGCATCACAGCATCTGTTCTGTCTGCTCTCCTTGCAGTTAAGATCCTTCTGTTCTACTTGATCTTTTACGGCTGCCTGGCCGGCATCTTCATCGGGACCATCCAGGTGCTGCTGCTCACCATCAGTGAATTTAAGCCCACCTACCAGGACCGCGTGGCCCCGCCAGGTAACGAGTGTGCACGCGCTCAGTGCTTCCCGAGGGGGGGTGCTGTCCGTGGAGGCGGGTTCTCTGACAGCCTGCGGGGAGAAGCAGCAGCAGCTTCCCTCTGCGCCCGGCTCTCCGCTCCCCCAGCCACCGGCCACGGGGCTCCAGCTGGCCTCCGTCCTGGGTCCCTGTGGCCACAGGCCGTTAGGAGCTCTTACACACTGTCTCGGGGGGACTGTGACTCAGAGAAATCCTTTAAAACACCGCTTGGCTCCTGTTCTCAAAGGCGAACTGATTTCACACGGGAGGAGCCAGGCTTTCAGGGGTCCATTCTCCCACCTGCTACTGACTTACAGTTTGACCTTGAACAAAAGCACCCTCTTCCATTCTTAGTATTTATACCTGTTTTATGAGCATCTATTTACTGGCTTTCGGGACCCACTGCCATTTAACTGTCTCCTTTAGCTCTGAAAACGTGGCTTCCCAAAGCTTCTAGAAAACGCGGGGCCACACGAGGGCCCCACCTGTGCGTGTCCACAGCGGCCACGGCCACCCCGGAGCCCGGGCGGCACCCCCGACGCTCGCAGGGCAGGGCGTGTGCAGCCTCCAGCGCGGCTGTCCTGTCTCTGAAGAGTCATTGCTGGGAGGACCTGGAGGGGAGGAAATGTTGCATAACTTCCGGGTTCTCGTTATAAGTGACCTTGGGGGTGGCAGTGGCGTGTCCCCTCCAGTGTCCCTGGGCAGCTGTTGCGTAGCAGCTGTATTGGGGTGACAGTCCTGGGCTGTCTTCGGGCACTGAGCAGCCTCGGTCACGTCTGGCTCCGTTGCAGACTCCTCACACCACCTCCTTGGCTGTGGGAGGGACTCTGAGAGCATCCCCGAATGTGGAGGTGGCGAGTGGGCCTTTTAGCCTCACGTCAAGTCACGTCTGATGTAAGGAAACCCCAATATTCCCAGATACGTTTAGGTCTAGGGGATGTTGGAAGTAGAAAAAGAAAACATGTAAGTATATAAAATTACTTAAACCTGCTCTTAATAACCCAGTTTCCAGCAACATCCCCAAGGAGAGGGGGTCTGTGGGAGGCTGCAGGGGATTCTGGGAGACGTCCGCCACAGTTAAGGGTGGCATGTCTTCATGCGCCTTCTTCTGCTACAGTGTTACGGGAGCATTAGTAACCATAGTTTAAAAGCTATTTTTCAATAATGATGCTATTTTATAAGAATTCTTGTATGTACAACCACAGTTGACCAGCATCTTGTCTCACTGCCACATTCAGAAACGGGTCCTTTACTGTATGAACTCGGGGAGTCAGCCTTTGATAAAGTTCCGCATCTCCTCCGCGTCCTGTGCAGAGGGAGCTGCTACTCTCAAGGGAAACCAAGTATCTGCCTTTTCACGGGGACCTTGCAGGTGACCTTGTAGATGACCTTGCTGGGAAACCCCTGGCCGAGGTGCTGGTCCTCCCGCCACCCTCCCGCCTCTCCAGCCCCTTCCTGAAGGCACATGCTTAGCGCCTATATTTAGCGTCGCGGTCCCTGGCCCAAAGGAATGCCGGTGGCTCATCTCGGAAATATGCGGTCCTGTCCTTTGAGTCACAGGCCTCATCCTCCAGCTTCCCTCTCCTGTCACCTGGGTTCTTTGTCACTTCTCTGACTTTCCTTTTCCTGCTCCCCTCGCCCTTCACATTGCCAGGGGAGTCCAGGCCAAGCCCCCTCTATCCGTGGCCTTGCCCAGTGAGGGACCCTGGCAGCCTGGAGGGGGCGGGGCAGCCAGGTCTCAGAGCTCCGCCTGCTGAGGTGCTCCCAGAGGCCGCGCGCCCTCCTCTTGGCGTCCTGGAGAGCAGATCGTAGCGGTCTGCATCTTTGATAGGCAGTAGCTGTTCTTCAGGCTGCAGGCGGAACAAATGTATAGAGGAAAACCCTGGCCATTTTGGGTCTTCAACTGAACGTCTCTAAGCCTCTCTTTGACATTTAAAGAGGGAACACTGTAGTTTTCAGCAAATGCACCTACTGAGTGTGGCAGAGTTGGCCCAGAGTTCACAGATGGAAGACGAATTGAGGCCATTTTTGACGAATTGGAGGCTCTAGCAGCAGCCTGGCCGGACCGGGCGTGGCCCGCCCTGTGCACTCGGAACCCTGTGACCGTGGCCAGGGGAAGCAGCTGTGCAGAGCATGCGGCCCTGCGTGTCTCTGACGTTGGATAAGCCGACAGGCTAAACACGAGTCTCAGGACTAGGTTACAAAATGAAACGCAGGTCAAGGGAACACGCATACCACGGCCAGTTCCCTGGGCGGTGGTGGCCATTGGCGTGTGGCAGTCCTGAGCTCCTTGCGAAGTGCTGTTGCTGGAGGATATCGGAACAGACCTGCCCACTCGGCCTGGGAGGCCCGGGCGAGAGCCTGGGCGGAGATGTTAGGCTGAGACATACTACATTGCTATTCTCGTGGGTCAGAGTGGCTGCTGGTGGCAGTTTCACGTTGCCCAGCCTACACCTGCATGCGGGGCGGAGCCATTCCACCTGAGTGCACAGCAGCGCTGACCTGACGGGGAAGGTGGCCCCTGGAATTGGACACAACCGCACGCACTGCTTCACCTCACTAAGCCTCAGTTTTCTCATCTGCAAAATGGGAATGCTATCCTGGGAAGTAAGGCAAACGATTGGCATTAACAGGTGGCTATCAACAGCCACGTTCCATAACCCCTGGATACCGAATACATTTTTGCAGGCTGAGCTGTGGCTGATACAACAGAGGAGCTTTATGCACTCACGTTTTCCTGAGGTGAATAGAATCCTGGCTTTCTGTGAAGAGTTGTTGGGAGAAATTGGAATAGGAAACATGTTTGAAAACAGTAAATTTAAATGACATTGTAGTTCTGTAATCTCCCTGTAGAATACCCACGCCCATGGGGTCAGCCCCAGGCAGACCTCTTAGGGGAGTCCCCATGGTGTCAGCTGTGTCCTCTCCCTGTGATGGGGGTTGGGGGGGGGGGCCCTGGACAGGCCGAGGCCCGAGTGCACACCAGCTCACGCCCCCCAGGCCAAGCCCTGGTTTGCCCCTGGGTCCTTGCCCCGCTCCCAGCTCATTGAGCAACAGTGGCATGAAGGAAGGTCCCTGTGTGTCGCCCGTGGGCCCAGGGAAGGTAGGAGGGGGGTGGACAGGGCACCGGCCTCAGGGCCTCCGACCCCAGGTGGTGCAATGCGTGGGGGCAGCTGCCTCAGTGCCCGCGTCCTAGTAATCTCGTGACCCGAGGGCCCGTGTGACGCAAACAAGACGGGGGCAGGGGTGGGGTGGGGTAGGGAAGTATTTTCTAGTGGCTTCCAACCAGGAAAGCATACCTTTCCCCACATACACGCATGAATAGACATAATCAAATATCAGGCCCAACGTGGTGTCCTGTTTCAGGGTATCAGTCCTTAGCCAGTGTTTTGTTTTGTATCCAGGCGAGGCAAATACCCGGTCTGTGCTTGTCCTTCAGCTCAGCCCGGACGGGAAGGCACAGTTAACGTAACACGCTGGGATTTGCCTCTGTTGATGTTTCCCGCTGGAAAAGCCATACTTCCACTGGGAGCAAACACATTAGGAGCTGCACAGCCTGCAGAGCCGCCCTGTGAAATCACATGGCTTGTACGATAGAGCCTCTGGAGGCTGTGCCCTCTCTCTGCTCACCTGAGGGTGGGTGTGCGGCCCGGCAATGCCTGCTGGGCCTCTGCCCAGCGAGCACGGCATCGATCTTGGACGGAAGAGGCCCGTCCATCGA